GGTCAATGTCATGAGACAAAGTATATGTGAACTGCTGTATGAAAAGTGAATTTACTCTGTAAATCTTCACCCAAATCCTAATTAAAAAAAAAAAAGAAAGAATTAGTTAATTTCCCAATATAGCCTTTGTCTCCTATTAACATAATGAGTTTTGACTGTATGAGATATTACATCTAAGGCAGAAGTAATATAGTGGAACCAAAGAGAAAAACCACTAAAATTAATTTCATTGACAACAATTTTGGTGATCAATGAGTTGCAGATAACAGAATTATTCTCATATGTAGACTATAGAATATATCAGGGAAGGGAGTTAGAAGTGAGAGGTTAGTGTTAGAAGACACTTTGAAACTGGGCCAGCCTGTTTCTCTTGTAAGAGGAAAATAATGTATGAAAAACTATATTGTAATAGTTATCAAAGAATATTCCTAAAGATAGAAGAACTATGTAATTATTTCAAAACAAAGTATCGAAAAATAGAAGAGTCAGCCTTCTGTGTTGGCTGATAGAGCTTTGGCTCCTATGAGGGCAGGGACTAGACCATGTATTGCCATAAGCCTTGTAAGTCTTGGGTCCCCAGTCAGGGTCTGAAGTCTCATTTGATCTCCATATAGTTTTCCTCCACCTCCATTATAATGCCTTCTATATTTGTGGTTGTTAGTTGCCATCACATTGATTCCTACTCATGGCAACCCTGGGCATACAGAGTGGAACTGCTCCTTAGGGTTTGTAAGGCTGTGATCTTGGGGAAGCAGATCTCCAGCCCTGTCTTCCAAGGTACCTCTGGTTGTTGTTAGGTGCCATCAAATCAATTCCGGCTCATAGTGACTCTATGTACAACAGAATGAGACACTGCCAGCCTTGTGCCATCCTCACAGTAGTTGCCACGTTTGAGCCCGTTGTTGTAGCCACTATGTCGATCCATCTTATTTAGGATCGTCCTCTTTTTCACTGACCATCTACTTCCCTGGGTGGGTTCACATCTCCCATCTTTCAGCTAGTAGTTGAGCGCTTAACTGTTCCCACCACCTTGGGACTCCACCTTCTATAAATATTTTGTTGTTATGTGCCGTCCAGTCGGACCCAACTCATTGCGACCCTCCTTGGGTTTCCAAAGCAGGATCACTACGGAAGTAGATTGCCCAACCTTCCTTCTGAGGAGTGGCTAGTGGGTTGGAACCGCCAGCCTTCTGGTTAGCACTCAAGTGCCTTAGGCACTATGCTACCAGAGTTCCTTCTATAAATATAATAAGTAGGTTTAGTTCTTAATAGGGAGGGGAAAGGACTCAGTACAATATTCCTAATGCACTTTGAGTCTTAAAGTGGAGTCTCTGGGAGGTGGGAGCTGTGCCAGACTAAATCAGATTCATAGGGGTAGGGCCCAAGAATCAACATTTAAAATAAACTATTTTTAGGAGCTCTGGTAAGCGTAGTGCCTAAGGCACTTGACTGCTAACCAGAAGGCTGGAGGTTCAAACCCACCAGCCACTCTTCGGAAGGAGGGTTGGGCAATCTACTTCTGTAGTGATACCACTTTGGAAACCCAAGGAGGGGTTGCTATGAGTCGGGTCCAACTCGACGGCATGTAACAACAACAACATTTTTATTTTTAAATAAGTTCTCCAGTAATTGAGAATTATAGTCTTAGGAATTTTACTTTCAACAATTTTATACATATTAACCCTCCTGTCTCTAGATTAGGTTTCAAAGAATTACCTAGTCACCCATCTTTGTTGTTGTTATGTGCCGTCAAGTCGGCCCAGATTCATGATGACACCTCCTTGGGTTTCCAAGGCGGTATCACTACTGAAGTAGGATTTCCCAACCTTCCTTCCGAGGAGTGGCTGGTGGGTTTGAACCACCAGCCTTCTGTTAGCAGTCAAGTGCCTTACACACTATGCTACCAGAGCTCCTCACCCATTTTTACAGTATGTTTTATGACATGGCAGCATCGATTCTTTTTTTTTTTTTTTTTTCATTTCCTCCTGCTTTACCTGCTCTTCTCTGAAAAACCACTAGGTGGGGCCTATAGCCCAGCCCTAGTTTATATACTTTATTACAATGAAAGGGATGTTGGCAACAAAGGGCCAAGAAATTGTCTCAGCTAAAGGCAATAGTGAATAGTTTGTTTTGCATACAGTCCCTGGTGAGCTGTCCTTTTAAGTGAACTTGATAGACAGTAGACAAAGGCCTGGCCTGCTTTCTGGTGGTGCTTAAACTACTTAATACATCAGTAGACCAAATTATAACCATAGTAGCACCAAGGATCTAACATAAAGTCTAAATAAACCCACCCAAAAAAATCAATATTTAAATCTTGAGTAAGTAGTATTTGCAATGAGAGCTTTAAATGAAAACAAGTACCAGCCACCCTGGAATCTGATTTAAAACTATTCCTAGTACTGGGTGATTATACTTAGCAGTGCTTACATTTCCATTTGAACATAGAACTATCTTTCATATATATGGATGGTATATGTTATGTTGCCATGGTGACATGGCTTAAATGAAAGTCCATTTCTCTCGCCCCCCCACCCAGTTGTGTGGCACAGGTGATAGAGAAACCATGGACCACTACATACCCCAGGGCATATTCATATCCCAGTAGCTTCAAAAGTGGATTGTACAAATTGGTAAGATGATCCAGTGGGTTATGGGGGAAAATATTAGAAATTCTGCCCATCTGTGAAAAAGAAATTAAGCATCAGTAATACTTACTATTTGGACTGATGGCTGGTGTACACTGTCATTCGTAAATCAGAAGGATCCCTGTCATAGAACACAAAACATCCTGACAGAGTGAGTGTTACGTGTAGAACACAGCTGATGGGGATATCCTCATTTATTCTTCACTTTTACCATATTGCATGTGCCCCACCTTACATGTTCCTGGGTGAGTGGTTATGGATTGAATTGTGTCCCCCAAAGATATGTGTTGCAAATCCTGACCTTTATATCTGTGGTTATAATCTCATTTGGCAATGAGTTTTCTAAGTTAAGTTAGTGAGGTGGTAGTATTAGTGTAGGGTATGTTGTAAGTCTCCCTTTATTGAGATATAAAAGAGCAGAGCAAGCAAGCAGGCAGAGGTGGGGGAAGATAGATGCCAAGATACATGAAGATCACCGAGGAAAGTGTTGTGTCCAGGTTGTAAAGGAGAATTTCGGAAGAGAAGAAGACGCTAACCCACGCCAATGCAAATGCAATAGGACAGTTTATTAGCTAACTTAAGTCAGGGTCTTTGCTCTTGCTAGGTCAGTGGCTTAAGCAAAAGACCCCGTACCCCGTTTCTTTCTTCAATTT